ACCAGAGGTCATCCTCTCCAGAATTCTGACTGCCACTCACCAACACCTGTTGTCAATCTCCGTTCATCAACTCCCCTATAAATACTCACACTCTTGGTCCACTCATTGCGAAGCGTTGGTGTGTCACTACAATCTTGAGCTGTTTCTCTGTAACGGTTTTTGATCTTGGCTAGCCCGTTTTTGTATTTTGTCTTGGATCTGTTTTGTCTTTTTGGCCTCTGACCCTCTGCTCTACCCTGATTCTGTTTTTTGGACTGTGTTTTTGTACCTTCGTCTGTCACAATAAAGCCTGCTCATGGATCCTAACAACCCGCCTAGTCCAGCATTGTTACATAGGTAGAACCAAGTGGCTCTGAAAGAACCTTTTGCAAACGAGCAAAGTTTCAGTTGAAGATTTATTTGCAACTTAGTTACAAGTTTAAGTTTAATAAAAACTTGCTTTAAACTCAGGTTCACAAATGAGTTTTTCTTTACTATATTGCATCTGTAGGTCTCTGTTCATAAAAATAAACTAGCGAAAATGAATTTATTAAAAAATGAAAGTGTTTGTATAAATTCAGAAAAAAGACACATGCCAGTCACAACTGCATATGTGTACATATTTCTATACTGTGGTCTATTTACACAAAGTTAGGTTAGTTCCATCATTTATGTTGGAATAGATGCTCCCAAAATTTTACGCTGCTGCACTGATGTTCAACCGTATGCTTGCACTGAGTCGGTATGTCCAACAGGTCAAAACAAGCTCAAAACAAAGTGCGCGCGGTGCCCTGATTGGTGTTCTTGCTTCAGCTTCTTTCGATGTGATGATTCATTTTTTATACACACATAAACCAAAAGGAAGGACAGATTTCACATAATGCAGTGGAGTAAAAAGTAAGATATTTGACTTTGAAATGTATTGGAGTGAAAGTAAAAAGTCACCAAAAATGGAAATACTTCAGTACAGCACAGATACACAAAAAAACTACTTAAGTACAGTAAGGAATTACATTTACTTAGTTACTCTCCACCACTGCCCAGATATGACCAAAAGGATCATCGTGAGTCTAGTGTCCTCAGGTGTCCCCCACTGTATTAAGATTCGTTATTGCTCTTATCAAGTAGTTAGGCTACAGTTGAGAAGAAAAAGATCAAATCTATAAAACATAAAAAACATTCATAACTTTTATAGCATGCATATATCAAGAGGATAAAATGGTATGACATACGAGAGGAATCTACTGTCAGCTACATGAAAATCACTCAGCAATGATTATGCTTGAAACATATGCATGAGAAATGTCTTAATTGAGGTGAAATTAGGCAAATTCTTCTATTTTGCTTTACTTGTCACATGCAGGCTACAAGTACAGACTTAATCCAGGGCAAATGTTCTGTCATTTTGGTGTAAATATCTGGCCTGACCTGCGATGGACTGACGACATGTCCAGGGTGTATCCTGCCTTCCACCCAATGACAGCTGGGATAGGCTCCAGCACCCCACCACGACCCAGAAGGATAAGCGATTTAGATGATATGATGTGTGTGTGTGTGTGTGTGTGTGTGTGTGTGTGTGTGTGTGTGTGTGTATCTGGCCTGATGGGCTTGTCAGATGTGTATTCCTCACCTACTGCTGTATTATTACACACCAAAAGACCTCCAGAGTCTCCCTGTGAACAAACAAAAATAAACACATTACTATCTTGCTAAAGTCAGAATGTACATATTGTGAGTTTATGTGTTGCATCAGGACAAAACAAGATGACTGTTTTCATCAGCCTGTGTTTTTTTCATACTCCAGGATGAACTGCACACACCATTTTTGGGTTTAGAGACTTCCGGAGTTTGCTGCATCTTTTCTTGTCTATGATACCGACACGTCTCCAATAGAACTTTAATCTACTTAAACCCTCATGGTTCCTTTTTGCCCCATCCCACCAGACTGAAGGCCGATGTGGCTTTGATGTCCTCCGCCCTTTCAGGGATAGAGATCCAGTTGGCACTTAACTACTTGATAAAGCCTTACTGTGCCTAAGTCAAGACTGAGACCAGGAGCGAGCAAGACAAAATGTAAAAAAGAGCAGTTCTTTGAATTTCATAGTCACATCCATTATACCTTCTTATCAACAGAATAATAAATTAATATTAATTATTGTTTTGCCATCTAGTGTCAACCAAAGGAGGATGGGTTTCCCTTTTGAGTCTTTGATCCTCTTGAGATTTCTTCCTCTTTGTAATTAGCCATCTATTATTCCTCCTTTAGATGCAAATGATGACTAATTACAAATAAGTTATTTACCTACTACTGGCTTGATAAGGCTTAATCAGAGCATCACAAGTGTTCTAGAAAATGCTTAATTTAACATAGTAATAAGCTGTCAGATAATAAACAACTTTTTTTTTTAATGAGGGCATTATAATGTCCTCTGTGTCACCTGAAGACTGTAGCTATAAATAAAAAGCTTGCCTGTTTCAGCAGTGCACAGCCTTCGTGACGAAACGTTCAGACACAGGAAAGCCACCACAGATGTGTCCTCTATTGGTCCTCTGCATAGACACCCTGTAGGGTCTGGAGTGAGGTTTAGTCTCTGTGCCATTCACTATATTCACTATACCAACATTAACACTGGTTGAGAGAGAAAGAAGGTGAAAAGGATATAATCATACTTTAAATTCATCTCTATGTGAATTTTGTGTAGCTCAGGTACAGCAGCAGAGCAGCCAGCAGAGGCAGAGAGATGAGTCATGATGCTGTAGAGAGAGAGTGATCTCCTCAAAGAAGAAGTAGAGTTTAAATAGTGCTGGGAAGGTGAGAAGATTCAGTTCCTCCCAAACCTTCTTTCTTGTGGTTTTCTTTGTGATTAGGAAATGAGACGCTCAGTGACCTGAGTAAACCCATGGGTGCATGATTAGAAGTGAAAAGAACTCAAAAGCCATTGAATGGATTTCAAACAGTAAGGTTAAAAGTGTGTAGAATGATTGTAAATTAGGATTATTTAATGATCCTAAAATGCTGTGTTATAGATTTGTGGGAACCCCTCTCTACACTGTAGAACATAACAGTTGCCCTCACTAAACTTAATATAGTTTGGTTTACTCACTGATGTGAATCTAGTAACACATACTATTTCATGTATAATCCTTAGTTACTTAGGTGAATCTAGATAACCCTGCACTCCAAATGTAATGTTTGGACATAATTTGAGAAAATTAGCTGGCCTTTACATTGTGTGAAAGCGTGACAACGAATGGACCAATAGAAATTCAGCAAAATTGTGTGTAATAAAGTCTTTTCATCAACTTACATTGAACAGAAATGCCCAGTTCAAACACAGGGAGAGGGTAACGCAGGTGGACCCAACATTTGAGGAGGGTAGACACTTGCAACGACTAGTTTATTGCAAAGCCCACCCTCCTCAACACAGTTACTCTAAATAAAGTCAACTACCAATAAACCAAACAACAATAACAGACTGTTTTCGTTGTCTCCCAAGAGCCACTTTGCATGGCCGTACTCCCCAAGTATATATTGCTGCTTTTGGAACAAAACCTTGCATCTCCATTTTTGTCATTTTCCAGTTTTTGACATAGTTTAAAAATGTCTGTTGTCTTTTACATTGTGTGTAAATTTCATGATGAATGAACCAAAGGAAACAGTCCAAAATCAGTCCAGTGTTCCAATCACTTCCATGGCCATATTTGTATAAAATCAAGCACCTAGGCATGCAGACTGCTTCTACAAACATTAGTGAAAGAATGGGTCGCTCTCAGGAGCTCAGTGAATTCCCGCGTGGTACCGTGATAGGACGCCACCTGTGCAGTCCTGAAATTTCCTTGCTACTAAATATTCCACAGTCAACTGTCAGTGGTATTATAACGAAGTGGAAGCGATTGGGAACGACAGCAACTCAGCCACGAAGTGGTCGGCCACATAAAATGACAGCGCAGGGTCAGCGGATGCTGAGGGGCATAGTGCACAGAGGTCGCCAACTTCCTGCAGAGTCGATCGCTACAGACCTCCAAACTTCATGTGGCCTTCAGATTAGCTCAAGAACAGTGCATAGAGAGCTTCATGGAATGGGTTTCCATGGCCGAGCAGCTGTATCCAAGCCTTACATCACCAAGTGCAATGCAAAGCGTCGAATGCAGTGGTGTAAAGCGCCGCCACTGGACTCTAGAGCAGTGGAGACGTGTTCTCTGGAGTGACGAATCACGCTTCTCCGTCTGGCAATCCGATGGACGAGTCAGGGTTTCACGGTTGCCAGGAAAACAGTAATTTTCTGACTGCATTGCGCCAAGTGTAAAGTTTGGTGCAGGGGGGATTATGGTGTGGGCTTGTTTTTCAGGAGTTGGGCTCGGGAACTCTTAATGCTTCAGCAGACCTAGAGATTTTGGACAATTTCATGCTCCCAACTTTGTGGGAACAGTTTGGGGATGGCCCCTTCCTGTTCCAACATGACTGCACACCAGTGCACAAAGCAAGGTCCATAAAGACATGGATGAGCGAGTTTGGTGTGGAAGAACTTGACTGGCCTGCACAGAGTCCTGACCTCAACCCAATAGAACACCTTTGGGATTAATTAGAGTGGAGACTGCAAATTTTGACCTAAAATATACTTTTTAAAATACATTCATGATGTGAGGTACATGCAAGCCAAAAATACTACCCAAAGAAAACTTGTTGTTTTTCAGATTTACCATTGTTTTACAATTGTAAATGTCACCGGGAAAAAAGACGCCCACCAAATGACAACATATTTTTTCAGGTATTTTATTCTGATAGATCCCACTCTAGGGATTTTATGAAACATCGTATAGAAAATGTATATTTATTATAAATCAAATTAAAATGAGCAGCAATAAATCGCTGGCCTCTTACAATTAGCCTCAAAAGTAAATAAATAAAATAATTAACAGATATCAGCACTTATACTGCTCAGCTACACAGTCTATATGTCCTGTGCCCATCAAATATCTGTGGTATTGCTGACCAAAATACACAAGTCCCAGCACACAACAGTATCCTACTGAGTTTAGGCTTACTGCCACTGCAGTGTAATTTTTGGTAGACTCTAAACAGCGCTGGATGCAATTCTACTCAAAATAGGCATAAAAATAAAAAAGGTACACAATGTAAAACCTGTCAGAACACAGCACAGTGAATGGTAGTGGCACTTTTAACAGAGAATGGAGAAATAACATTGAAAACCTTTCACCATTGTTACAACTCTCAGAACTGTTTTTATCTTTTCTCATAAGCTCACCTCGATTTACAGATCCTTACTCAACAAAATCCTAGCATGTCATCATGTGAAATTGGACAAAACAGCTTCTGTAAACCAAATACCACTGAAACAAAGCAATTTGCCCCCATCCTACTGTAGTTCTTCTACGTTAGGTTTTTTAAAAGGCAAAATAGGCATCCACCATAGCTTACATAACAGATAAAACTATATTGGTCAGTACTTTCGCATTTTTACCTCATATTTCATAAGGATGGCTCTGGATACACGAAAATTTACTTGCAATGGAGCACCCCCATTATCTCCAGCTTGAGCCTGGCCTCTCTGCTCCTGCTCCAAGCCCCACCCTTTCCTCTTTCAGCGCGCCAGCAGTTCAGACAGAGGCCCTTAAAGGTACACACACACCTTAAATATTTGTACGTAGTTCACCACCTGGCTACATAAACATTACACAAAAAAAGCTCAGAAGATTCATGTTCATTCACTGGTCATTTTGGACAGTAAATATAAAATGGCACTGTAGACATTGTGACCCCTGGTTTCTATTACTAACATTGTAAATTAATGCAAGTCAAGATTAAGTTTTGGGATATGCAACCTGTCTAAAATGTATTTTTAAAAATCTCTTTATGGCAGAAAGGTTTATGCAGATTGCTAGAAGCCAAAATAGCGAAGAAAAAATCAGGCTTATCACTTAGTTATCATTATAAACATTATACATAACAAAACTCAAAAGATGTGTAGTTTCACTGGTTGAATAGTAAATGAAATGGCTTTATTTCCATTGCAGACACTATAACCCTTGGTTCCCATCACCACCACTGTAAAGAAATGTGAGTCTGTTTTTCTACAATGAATCATTTCACATCACACCTCTCTGGATGACACAAGTTCACATCTCAAAGATTGGATTTTACAGAAATTTGGAAAAATCAATGGAATTCGCCTTTAAGACTAACTCAGGAGGTCTGCACTGTAGTGCATGTAGTTACTGAATCATAAGCCTTAGGATGTTGTAAGCCTGGGATTTTAAGGAGTCTTCCTCATAATTACTTTCAGTATCTTTTCGTACTGAATGTGCAAGAGTACCAAGAGTTTACAACCTGGCCTGAAAAAACATCTTTTTTTTACTGAAATATGTCAACAATAAAAAACTCAACCTTTCACTCATCATCTAAGCCGCTTATCCTATGGGGCAGGGGAGGGGTTCTGGAGCCTATCCTGGCACTTACTGGGTGGAAGGCAGGAAACACTTTGGACAGGTTGCTAGTCCATTACAGGGCAGACACACAGCCATATACACACCTAGAAGCAATTTAGCATCTCCAATTGGCCTGACTGCATGTCTTTGGACTGTGGGAGGAAACCTACATAGACAAGCGGAGAACAACTCCACACAGAAAGGAAACTAGTCACCCAGCTGGGGAATCGAACCCAGGCCCTTCTTGCTGTGAGGCAACAGTGCTACCCGCCGAAAGAAAAACTGGTTAAATTGTTAATTTTAACCTATTAGTTGGTGAAACAGGCCTACAGATTTAACAAGTGCAAAGAATGTAGGCTACATTCAAATTGCTAAGCTAATGCTATCTTTAAAGACAAGTAATGACACATTTTAAAGCCTTGAATTTCAGGTAATAACTCCCTTAACAGTCCCCATCTCCCACAATGCAGTGCCTAAACACTGCAATTAAGCAAGACTACATTGTGCTTCAGATTTAGTTGGATCTGCGACACCTGTGGATCGAACTGCCCAAGACTCATCTGCCTACTAGGCTGGCCCAAAGTTTGCTCCACCTCTAGGCTCAGAGATTGTGACAACTCTGGCCTCAAAGATTGCTCCAGACCTAAACTCAGACAGTGTTCCCACTCTAGCCTCAAAGATTGCTCCAGACCTAAACTCAGACAGTGTTCCCACTCTAGCCTCAGAGGTTGCTCCAGACCTAAACTCAGACAATGTTCCCACTCTAGCCTCAGAGATTGCTCCAGACTTAAACTCAGAAAGTGTTCCTACTGTATCCTCAGAGGTTGCTCCAGTTCAAGCCTCAGAGCAAAATCGCTCTGGACCAAGTTTAACTGGCAAATTTTGCTCAAATGTAACAAGAAACTATGTCCCAAACATTATTCACCAACGTCAAATCAGGTCCAGTTCATAAATTCTGTGTAGTGTGCAGTGTAAATTTTTTCCAGGTTGGGTGGTGGACTGTTGGTACATTAATTGTAAAAGAATATAATGATGATGAATTTAAATAGCTTTACATTATAGCACATTTGCACACAGTGAACCACTGTAGTGAACATAAACCATGGACAATATAACATCATGTATGATAAAATCACTGAAAAATACAACTAAAAAGCAATCCACATGATCAGGCCCACTGTGTGTTCATCATATGGTCCTGATGACTGTGCTCAGGTCATTAACACTAAAACAGCTGTCTGAGCATACTTTTGATTTCATTAAGCAAATAACCATAGATATACATACACAGATGTTGTCAGTCGTTCTCAGTCTGAGGCGATACGTCTGTAAATCCACTATTTTGGAGTGTAAAAGATCCGCTTATAAACTACACGTGTACTGAGAGATGAGTTTTTATGACTAAACAACTTCCTTAATGCTCAACTGATTTTCACCTAATTTGTTTTGCTATAATGCTCAGACATGTCTGCATGTTGTTGCACAGCACTGTATTTGTGATGTCTGCCCTGTGATGGACTGGTAACATGTCCAGGGTGTTTCCTGCCTTCCTTCCAGTGACTGCTGGGATAGGTTCCAGCACTCCAGATGAAACAACAATCAACACATTCATGATCTAGATTTTGAAAAACCTTTATTTTTTATTTTAACAGTTATTTTACCAGACACAATATTAAGAACAGAATGCTTACAATATCAGCCTGGCAAGTGCCAGAGGACACTTGTGGGGGTGGCAGGGGGAGAGGGGAACAGAATCTGAACATGTATTTACTGTCCAATGGTAGAGCTCAATAAGAATGATATAGAAAATTTTCATAGAGGGCAAAGCAGATTTCTTTATTTTGACAATTTGCTTACACTTGTTTACATATGGAACGCTAAAAATGAATAAAAATAATACAAAGGTATCTAGGTCATACAGGACTCTCAGTTTTAGAACTGTGAACTTTTCAAAAATGTGTTGCTGTAATCTCTGAAAGAGACAAGACCACTGCATTAAAAACAGACATGATTCTTTAGTGGAAATCACTGCATGGGCTCAGAAACACTTCTGAAAACCACTGTCTGTGAAAACAGTTCATCACTACATCCACAAATGCAAGTTAAAACTGTCTTGAAAAGAAGAAACCACATATAAACAGGAACTAGAAATGTCGCCGCCTTCTCTGGGCCCAAACTTTCACACTGGAAGTGTGAAAGTGTCCTGTGGTCTAACAAATGAAAATTTGGCATTCCTTTTGGAAATCATACACATATTGAAAAATATGCCCATTTAAAATTTCATGTCAGCAACACCTTTAAAAAAAAGTGAGGACAGGGGGATGTTTACCATTGTGTTACATCACCTCTTCTTTTGACAACACTGTAAGCTTTTGGGAACTAAGGAGAGCAACTGCTGTAGTTTTGAAAGTGAAATGTTTTCTCATTCTTGCTTGATATAGGATTTCAGCCACTTAACAGTTCGGGGTCCCCTTTTTCTTTTTTTTTTTTTTTTTTTTTTTGTTTCATAATGCGCCAAATGTTTTGATGCTGTTGTAATACATGCAGAATGTGGTTTGCATTGTCTTGCTGAAATATACCAGGCCTTCTTTGAAAAAGACGTCATCTGAATGGTAGCAAACGTTGCCCCGAAGTATGTATATGTTGTTCAGCATTAATGGTGCCTTCACAGATATGCAAGTCACCCATATCATGTGCACTAATGCATCCCCATACCATCATGGATGCTGGCTTTTGAACTGTGTGCTGATATCAAGCTGGATGCTCCCTGTCCTCTTTAGACCGAAGGACATGGTGTCAATGATTCCCAAAAAGAATTTAAAATTTTGATTTGTTGGACCACAGAACACTTTTCCACTTCCAGTGAGTTTGGGCCCAGAGAAGGCGGTGGTATTTCTGGATCCTGTTTATATATAGTTTCTTCTTTGCATGGCAGAGTTTTAACTTGCATTTGTTGCAGTGATGAACTGTGTTCACAGACAGTGGTTTTCAGAAGTGTTCCTGAGCCCATGCAGTGATTTCCACTACAGAATTGTGTCTGTTTTTAATTCAGTGTCACCTGAGAGCCCGAAGATCACAGCCAGCCAATATTGGTTTTCAGCCTTGTCCCTTACATACAGAGATTTCAGAAACACATTTTTTGAAATGTGTTGCTGGAATCAAATTCAAAATGGACGTATATTTTTCAAAAAACAACGAAATTTCTCAGTTTCAACATTTGATATATTGTCTTTGTACTATTTTCAATGAAATATAGGATTTAAATGATTTGTACATCATTGCATTATGTTTTTATTTACTTATTGCACAGCATCCCATCTTTTTAGAACCAGGGTTGTAACTAGACTGTGGGTGTTCAAAATTTTGAAAATGACTGTACAAGTTCACTGCGACCACAGGGGTTAGAAGGCTTTCCATTGGTTTCCCTTTCTATGCAAAAGACATAGAACAAACTGACAAATTATGTTAATGGGCAACTGAATCTTCCCCACAGCTTGCTATTTAAACTCTTCTTCTTCTTCTTCTTCAAGGAGATCAGTCTCCCTCGCTACAGTACCATGACTCTCATCCCTCTGCTTCTGCTGGCTGCTCAGTTGCCGTACTTGAGCCACTCTGGTAAGTGTCACCTACACATACCTACTTCCAGTGTAATGCTCATATCTATCTTACAAGTTTTATTTACATTTTTATTTGTCATTTTATTTCCAAATGACAAATAACTGTTGTTATTTGGGCAATTAACATCTTCATAAGCCCACATTATAGTACAGTATACATCAATCAGGCATAACATTAAAACTTCTTGTTTCTACGCTTTGTCCATTTTATCAGCTCCACTTACTATATAGGTGCACTTTTTAGTTCTACATTTACAGACTGTAGTCCATCTGTTTCTCTGCATACTTTGTTAGCCCTCTTTTACCCTGTTCTTCTGCAGTCAGGACCCCCATGGACCCTCACAGAGCAGGTACTATTTGGATGGTGGATCATTCTCAGCACTGCAGTAACACTGATGTGGTGGTGGTGGTGGGTTGGTGTAATAAATGGCTCCGAAAAAAGGTCTGGCCCGATATTCAGGTCTCAAATTCAAAATCAACATTATACCGAAGATACAATGACAAAAGAAGATGATTCACTTACATCTTAGAAAAACTC